CCCCAAAACCCCAAAACCCCAAAACCCCAAAACCCCAAAACTTGTCCCAAAATAGTTCTAACTTAAACTGTATTTCATCACCCATGAACAATAAGCCTTGCCTTGGTGCACACCAAGTTTGGAAATCTCTTCGGAGTTCAGAGACTTGGTGATTTTAGGAGTGGAGGATTTTGGAGGCTGGCTTAGGCTAAAGGGGTTTTGGAGGTGGGAGAGGGAATTACTTTTTAGGGAGTTTAGTCGGAGTTTTTGGGATTTGGGGGATCTGAAGGGTTAGTGGGGAAAGGGTATTTACTTGGAGGGGATGGGATGTTTGGAGAGGGGTTTGAAGGGGCCTAGAGGGGTTAGTGGGGATGTACGTTTTGAGGGGTTTTGGGGGTGGGAATGGAGTTTGGATTTTGAGGATCAGGTTTTGAGTTTGGAGGATTTGGATCTTTTGTAGCTTAGAAATAAGAAATCTTTCTTACCCTCTTTATCTGATTGTTTTGAGATTTCTTCGTTGATGTCTTCTTCTTGGCGCACGCTATTTTTAACCTCTTCTTGTATATCTTCTAGCTCATCTTTTATAGAAGCTTGTTTCTCGCTAGATTTATCTAGTTCTCGCTTTGAACCTGATTCTTCTTTGATCGATTGCATTTCATTTTTAACAACTTCTAAGTGATCCCCATCAGGAGGTGCACTTTCAGCTAGGATGACATCATTATAATTGAGATTATTTGATATTAGCTTCTGTTTGTGAGAATTGCTCTGGTGGGTAATACCCGTCTATAAGCTATTTCTACAAAAATACCTTCAGCATTTTCTTGTGAAGTCCCTGTAAGCCCCATTGCAATAGGCTTCCCTCTGCTCTGCATTTCTAGTCTCTGGCGGTCATAGTTGTTTTTCTTCCTGCCTTGACCATGATTGGCAGTGGTCGGCCGCTTGTAGTTCTGGTCTCCGACACTGTCTTCAGGCCACTCGTAGTGGTTCAGAGGGATCCGCTTGTGCTTCTTGCGGCCTTTCTTGTTGGCTCTGACTGGCCCCTGACTACCTCTGGGCTGGCCAGCAACTCTACTCTTGACAGGATGTTTTCTGGTGTCTGCTACTTTGGCAGTGTGGACTCTTTTGGGATGCCGTAGAGACTTGACACGCTTGGACCCAGCACTCGAGAACACCCTATGCGTTGTCTTGAACTTACCGTTTGTTTGCATTGTCAGTGGTCAAGTCTTCGGGGTCTGTTTCGACGAGTTTGGGGTGTTCTTGACTGTTGTTGAGATTCTGGGTTGCAGAGTCATGAACATTGGATTTGGAGTAAGCATCAGCTTGGTTAGGGTCTTCAGTGTTGATGTTGATCATGCTTGGATCTTCCCCATTTTGGAAAATATTTTCATGATTTTCCATTGCTGTGCTGTATGGATTTTCTTCCAAATTGTCTTTTAAGCTACGACCTCTGTATTTATTCTGTTTAGATGAGGCTGTTCCTATTCTATGGTTATTTGGTCCTCTTTCCAGGTTGAGATGTCAATGCTCTTCTCTTCATATTTTCTATTGGTCTTGTATACCTTCTCCCTTCTAAAGACCCAGGAGCTCTTAAGTCCATATAATGAGGAGTCGATATGTTTAACTTGTATTCCTTAGCTTGCTTTGCATGAGCCTTCCATTGAGTATGATTGTAGGTAGGTCTGACTTTATTTTAACCGATTCTAAAGTTAGTATAAGATTTACCAACAGATGTATGTTGTCTTGGTTAATTCTATCAATGTTTCTTTTACGCTGGATATAATTAAGACTTCCCATAGGAGGCATTGTCATCTCGTATGATCTCTTTTTATTCCGCCTCTAAGAAGTAATTTTGTGAAGTACTTTGAGGATTCCCATCATTTTTGAAAGCAATACTTTATTCTGGTAATCTATCTCTCTTTTTCTGATCACATTGCTCAAGTTATTTATTTTCCCTAAGATAAGCTAATAATCTTACCTTTGCTAGACTTTGCTTTTGTTTTTTGTTTCGGTTTTTGAGTTTGCTTATGCTTGTTATCTACTGTTGGCTTCACAGACTTTAGTCGCTTGGCAAAATGCATATTTTCTTGATGCTGCCTGAATGTAAATTAGAATTATAAATGGTCAGATACTGTTCGATTTTTATCATATTCAATGCTCAAAGAGATAAATTTATTGATACAAAATAACGAAAATTATTTTAAGTAGCTGAATTTATAAGCTATCACTTACATCAAGACATACGTGCTGTTTTTGGGATTAAACCTATAAAAATCATTATTTCCATAACTCTCAAGAGCAAGGTTATACTTTTTTAGCACAATATTGCATTCTACACACTTATTCTCTGTCTAACCCCTACTCCATACCTAAAGCTCATTTTCTTAAATAATTCAATTTTAAAATAAAATTAGGGGTTTTGGGGTTTTGGGGTTTTGGGGTTTTGGGG